TCTGCCCCTGCCAATTATGCTCAATACAAAGATGTATGCAATTTTACAAATTGCATTATTTCCCTGTGCCATGGGAGAGATGGTGCAGTGAGGGAGAGAAGTTGGGCAGGCTGGCGTTGTGGTTTCTTTCACAAGCTCCTCATTCTGCCTGAGAGATGGTGCAACCCTGGAGGGAGGCTGGGTGGGTCAGCGTGGTGGTTCCTGCCATGCTGTGTCATCCTAGCAGAGGGTCATGGGTGGGTCATGGGTTTCCCTGGGCTCTTTTCCGCTCACTGAAGCGGAACCTAGAGATTGCAGAGATGGTCCTGCATCCTGGAGCAGGGTCATAGGTCCTCCCTCCCCAGAGTCTTTTTTCAGCCACCTCCAGTTATCCCAGTACCTTTCCATGTCCTTAGTTACAGGATTGGTTAGAGAATACCTCATCGATGATTACACCATTTGTTTTCTGATTTGTTGTTTTCCGATTCTTGCTTCGGTTACTTCTAGATGCTTTTGCACTTCTTGATGATCAACAGGTCATTTGCACAGCTTGGCTATCTGTGTCCCTGAGCACACCAAAACCAGCCCCCCAGGGATGGAGCCCTGGCTGGCAAAGGCCCCGGCCCTTGCTGCGCTTCAGCACAAGCATACTGGCCAGTAACCTGTTTACATATGTCCAGCTCCTTTTATCCTCTTTCTTCTGTATTTTTCCACACTTGTTCCTCCCCAGTCCAATTCGATCTTTCCCTTCCCCTGTCTTTGGTCCATCCCCTAAACATCCTGTAATAAGTCTTGCACAACCCCAAAATGTTCTTTCCAACTTCCCATAGTGAGTCCCATGCTCCTGTAGGCAGTAATTCTCTCTGAGTCTGTAATGGGATTGATGGGGAGTTGATGGGAGTGTCTTCCATGGACTCAGCTGGGGGTGTCCCCCCAACCCATGGGGCTGGTGGCTCCTGTGTGACAGCCCTTGGAGCAACCCCATCAGGGGTTCAGCCAGCTCTGGTGCGGTTACTGGGGTTCCTTTGCCTGTTATCATGCCTCTGCTCCTTTGTGTTCGTGGGGATGAGCCTTCAGTCACATAACCTAGCAGTCTGTATGCTCTGTCCTCATTTAGATTCACTTCTTGAAGTTCTTTGGGGTAAGCTGAATAGCTCTGTGATAGTAGTCTTTTAAGCAGTACAAGGGAAGGGTATCTAACCCCTTCTGATGATTTCACCTATGAAAAATTCATCCATGAATGTCAGCTGGTACCCTTTTACAAACCTCTTATTTATTCTAAATATCCTCATGTGATGCGTGCTTTTTGAGCAGAGGCATAGTCTCTTAAATTTTTATGAAACTTTATTTACTTTTAAATGGCTTTAAATTCCCATGGGCAGAGGGAAGACTTCCTGCCCTAAAGGCACTCAGTCTACCTCCAGTGTAAACAAGGTGGGGTTCCAACTGGAAGCGTGGGGGATGGCATTCGGGGTGAAAGACCATGGGACCTACTTCCAGTTACAAAGCCTAAGACAAGGCTTTGCACCAGAAGTAGAGGTGCAGGGCAGCTGTCACTTTTTTGGAATGGAAGTTGTCTACACTGTGCATCCAGTGGTCACAGGGAGACTGGGTGGTGTAGTGCTGTACTCAGTGACACACAGTTTAACATTTATTTGCCTAAGAGGATGGGTATAGCAAGTGGATAATGATTCCTGTTCTGCAAACATGGATATCACACGCAGATCACAACTCCAGCCCCACCAGTCTAGTTTAGATCAGTCCTATACCAGTAACCCCAGAGGAGCAGGTCACTCATTCTGACTGGTTGACATGCTGGGTCTATGGATGACAGCTTAGCTTCTGTGTGTTGCAGTTCTTGGGCTTCAGCTTCCATGTGGTATCAGATGACCATGTATGGTGGTCGCCCCCAAAGGGCTATGATCTTAACTATTTCTTGCCTTTTATGTTAGATAATTGATATAAGCTGGCAATGGCTCTGCTAATCACATGGCTTGAGGCCCAATCTCTTTGGCATCCTCCATCCCTGAGGCCAATTAATAGTTGCCACCGCAGTTTCTATAACCCTCCAGCCTCCCACCCAAGTAATTTACAAGAAAAGAAATATTACCTGTGTTACCAGCTCATACTGGATTAATCCAGTCAGTTCAAGCTTGGCAGGTGTAATCCCAGCTCATTTGTCTGGGCAATTCTTCCAGGTAGGCTAAATTCAGTGGCACGTACCATACACGGAAGTGTAATTTTTGCAGACAGTGCAAAAATGTCTTGTCTGCCCATCCTGAATTAGCTTAGCAATTACATTTACGTAGCAGTGTCCTTTGTGAGGCCTGCAACAGTATAAAGCATGAGAAGCGTTGCAGGCACTGGATAGGACAGAGACATTGGGAAGGCAATTAGAAATAATACTCCTCTTAAGAAATTATCAGAGAATACGTCTGGAGCAAAAGTGGGAATCTGGGAAAAGCAGATAACCATGACAGTGGGCAATGAACTGTAGGGTTCCTTCAGAGATGTGACGCTGACAGAAGAAAGTACCTCTTTGATCAACGTACCCAAAGGGTCCATGGCACAAAGCTCAGACAGAGCGTTCTTTGTTACTGGAAATCTATATTGTTTCACACACCAACATTTCCTAAACAGAAAAGAGATGTAAGAGATGGACTTCATCAGAGCAAAGAATGCACAGAATCCTAGAAGGAGTCATTCCAAATGACAAATGGAAGAGTGAGGTGTAAGATTGACAAATGACAAAAAGGAAGGCATGAGAACAAATAATTCACTTGTTTTACATAGTAGAATAAATTGCCATTTTGGGTTTGGTTCTTAATCTCACCTAAAGGCAATCTTAATCCCGCCTAAAGACAGATTCTTATGCAGGTTAGGCATTAGCTCTGAAATGTCAATGTGCATGTGTCGTGGTTTAATTTCAGTCGGCAACTAAGTACCACGCAGCCGCTCGCTCACTCCCCCCCACCCGGTGGGATGGGGGAGAGAATTGGAAGAGCACAAGTTAGAAAAACTCGTGGGTTGAGATAAAAACAGTTTAATAATTGAAATAAAATGATAATAATAATATGATAATAATAATAATACACAAAACAAGTGATGCACAATACAATTGCTCACCACCCGCCGACCGATGCCCAGCCAGTCCCCG